CAGCAGCAGCCTAGTGGGGGCCTCTGGCCGGTTGGGCACTGAGCAGCAGCAGCCTAGTGGGGGCCTCTGGCCGGTTGGGCACTGAGCAGCAGCAGATGACTGGAGGCCTCTGGTGCTCATCAGCCTGCCACAGGAGCAGGACACCTCCACTATACTTAGAAAAAGTGGGTTTCTAGTCTATTTCTAACAATTTCCAGGGAAGTTATTTCTATTTTTCGTCTTGATGGGTTTTAATCTTAAGAAATTATTCCTCTTTTTAGTAACCATTCCTGCTAGAATGACCCTCTTCTACTCCAGCTGAATCCATTTCCTTTCATTTAATTCATCACTAGAGATTGGAAAATATATGTTCACCATTTTTTTCTGGTATAATCCTTTGTATACTTATAGAGTTTCCCTGAGTCTTCTTTGACATAACAGATACTTAGTCTTTAAACTTTATTTAAATCTTTCATATTTACTCTTTACAATATTTTGATAGCTTTTTTTTAAATCTCAAGTTTTTCAAAACTCTAAGCTGCATGTTGTAAAAGTCCTGGCAAGTCTACAGTAAGAAAAAGACCTGGAAGTTTGAAAAATTCTGCAGTGAATTAGCATGTTGTGCTTGTTTGGAGACCACTCATTTTCTCACTGCTTTTTCTGCTCGTTTGTCCTCACTTTACCCGTCACATGCCTTCATTTGCTCCTTTCTGCCGGCGTAAGTGCCCCCTCCCCACCAACTCTTTGTTTTTGCATGTTTGTTTGACTGTACTTCTCTGTGTCTGGGGCATTTTTGGATATTGCGATGATGTATCTCTAAGAGAGACAGCCAGGAAGCTAGGAAATAGATTGTCGTTTCTCAGCCTGTGGTTTTTAATTACTAGATAACCATGTCCTGCCCATTACATGTTTCCAACTGATTGGTCTCCAAGTAAATCTTCTCCTCTGGGAATGTTAGCAGGTGGCCACTCATTTTTTCCCAGATTGGTCATCAGACATTTCATCCAAACTCTGTTCCAGCTTGGAGGGTCCTAATTAAACTTACAGTATTTGCTATATATTTTTTTCATATGCAGAAGTTATTATACAGAGGGCATCAAAACCTTATACACATTTTAAGGAAGGAAAAAACTGTATTGAAATGATAATATTTAATATATACTGATAATGTGTTATCTTGTATCTCTTATAATTGAAAAAGTCAAATGGGACTTGAGTATTACAATTTTAATACTTTTTCCTTTCTTAAAATGTGTATAACTTTTTTGTGCCCTCAGCATATTTCCATTTTGTAAGAAAATGAAAGCTCAGATTGGTCAAGCAACTTGTCCAAGGTAACACAGTACGTAAGCACAGCTAGGATTCAGATTTCGGATCTTTCCAACTCTGCTCTTTTGGGAGTGCTGTTTTCTCCTCTTAAAGTTTTAGGACCAAAATGTTCATTGCAAATAGTGAAACTGTGTCCTTAGAGGATCGGCCCTGCCTGATTAGGGCCAGTTCTTAACTCTTCCTTGGGCAGGCCTGACGGGTTTGAGGACGTGAGTTGTCAGGCTAGCACTGGCCTTATTGGCAAGGTTCATGGCACTGTGGTCCCTCCAGAGACTCTGGACATGAGGAAGTCCTGGCACATGACTAAAATAGTTTTCATAGTTGAAGGAAGTGTTCTGAGGCTCAGCTCTGGTGGAACCTTCACATTTCATTTCTTTTCCCAGCTTTGGTCTGCTCATTACTTATTCCCTTGATTTCTCTAGTGTCTGAGATAAATAACCAAGACCTAGTTTGTGGCTTCAGTGAGCTTACAATCTAATAAGGAAAATTAGTGACTCAGAAGTAACAATAAAACACTGTACTATATGAGAATGGAAAGCAAAATACTATGGGAACTTTACCTGCAGGCCATGACAGTGAGGGGGGCCAGCTATCCTCCTGCTTTAAACAACTGTAAAACCAGAAACTAAATATAGATAATAAATGTTTATTTTTAGACATCAGACAACAGACTGCACAAGATAGACAGTGATCACTGTGGGAAGGAAGGTGAACAAGGTGAAGCTGCAGAGGACCCCACTCAGGGTCTCCAGGCCACAGTGCAGGGAGGGGAACCCAACAAATCTTGGCTTTCTCACTGAATTGAAGAAACCAATTAAAGCTTGGGGATGCTCAGATGGCTGGAATTTACTAGGAAAAATATTGAAGGTAGTGAGATACACGGAGAATAGATTCCAGAGGTCTGCAGAGGGAGTCTCAAGGTCTTTGGCTGCTCCCTGATCTGTGCATACATTTGAAGAAACTCTTGGGTCCAGGGGAAGACGACCTGGTGGAAAGGACCGGCAGAACAGGCCAGAATCCAAAGCTCTGAGTGGCTTGTGGCCTCTTCAGCCAGTCACAGATCATCGGGTAGTGACCTTCGAGGTCCAGCTGTTCTACGTTTGCCCTAAAAGTGCTTAAAAACAAAACTCAGAAGGATGGAGTGATTCCAAGTAACTAACTGCATCACAGAACAAAGACCAATAAAACTTAAAGGAATATATTAAAATCCAGCACCTGGCAATGTGTCATTCATAGCTGTGGTCTCCAGTCAAAACCACCAGGCATGCAAGTAAATAGGAAAATACCCCCTACAAGTGGGAGGAAAATCGATAGACACAAAACCAAAATGGCATAGATGATAGAATTAAGAGACAAGAACATTAAAACACTTCTATAAATATTCTTCCAATGTTTTAAGAAGGTAACAGAAAACATGATCATCATGAGCAGAAAAATCAAAGCCATAAAAAAGATACACTTGGAACATCTACAGATATATGAAAAATACAGTGGATGAGATTAATGACAGATTAAACACTACAGAAGAAAAGATCAGTGAATTTAAAGACTTAAAAAAGGAACTATCCAGAATGAACTAGAAAAGAAAGATTGAATAAAAAAGTAACAAAAGTAGGGCACCAGCCCCATATGCTGAGGGTGGTGGGTTTGAACCCAGCCCTGGCCCTGGCCAAACTGCAACAATAATAGCTGGACATTGTGGTGGCTGCCTGTAGTCCCAGCTACTTAGGAGGCTGAGGCAAGAGAATCACCTAAGCCTAAGAGCTGGAGATTGCTGTGAGCTGTGACACCACGGCACTCTACCGAGGGTGACAAAATGAGACTCT